CTATATGCAGGAGCTCTACCGTTGAGCTACCGGGGCATCGACTAATGCTTTCTCTTTTTCCTTTTTAGATCGTTTATCCCCCGCCTAAGCGTTTTAAATGCTGCTAGGTGAATCATCCTTACAGACGTAACTCTTTCATTCAAGTCGAAACATCTTTCAATCAAGCAAACTCTTCTCTTATCAAAACCAGAACTCTTTATTACCTTTTGCAGATATTATTATCTTATTTAACCAGGAACTCATTCAAACTGAACTATTCATTCAGCCAGAACTCTTCTCTTAGCCATTAACGAAATTCTTCAACAAACTTTTCTTTTTATCTCACTAATTATCGGATATCCTAATTTACCCAGTTCCGGAACTCTTTAGCCAATTTGTGATTATCTACCCATTATCCAAACAAATTTCACCTGGCTAAAAGTCTGAAGAATGACTTCATCAAAAAGATATCGAATCTTTGTTTTCAACTGCCCGATTCCATAATGATTGATCGAAAAATCCGTCATTTATGAACGATCAGACCTTACTGAATGTGTTACCCCTCCATCGAAACAAAACTTAAAATCCTCATTCGTGACTGTAACTCATCCATTATTTTCAATAACAATTTTTTAATTATTAATTTAACACAAATTTATACATGAACATCAAACATCGCAATATAATTTTCAAATGTAAAAGACCGAAAATCCGCTTGTAAATAACATGGGAGATTGAAATCATTCATCCAAAAAGAATTTTTAGTTGCGCGTTTATAAATAAATAAATTTAGTTTTAACAAATTTTTATTTTATTTTCATTTAAAAAATTATTTTCATATACAGGGTGGGGCAAAAAAAATTTTTATTGAGATTAACATTCAGTAAAATTTTTACTTTATGAGATAGGAAAAAATTTTCAAGATAAAATTTGTAGAGCGCGAATCATAGAATATGGGAAATCTAAACAAAAAGCAAAATATAAAGTAAATTTTAAGATAGGACAAAATAAAATTTGTCGCCGAACTTTTGCCCCACCCTGTATGTAGCTCTCGAATTTTTCCACTACCAATTATTGTTGTCTCTTTCGATTCCTCATTTATTCATAAGTTTTTAAAATTTTATTTCAGATTTTATTTTCTTTATTTTTTAAAATTTGTTTGTAAAACCCATAAAAATACTTATTTGTTTCACGAGTATTTATCATAGAACCTAATGAATATACAGTCGGATCATACTTAATTTTTACACCCCCCGTTAATGAAAAAATCGTAAGCTATCTTGAATGATCACTACTCTTCTGTAGGTGCATAGTAGACAACTCCCTGATGCCCTTTATTCTTAAAAATTTTAAATATTGAGCTAATAAATAAATTGATTGATCTACATACATATTAATTGAATTAAAAAACAATTTTTATTTTAATTATTAATTAATTTCAAGTTTCCCCGTTTTATTTTCAAAATAATTTTTAACACAAATTTAAAATTATTTTATTTTTATTGACACACTTTTTTGTCAGCGAAAAACACGCGCGGTCTTTTCCGTTTTTAATTTCTGTTGCTTTTAAATAAATAAATATTTTCTCATATTAAACTGGTTTTAATTTTATATATATAATGCCGCTTTATTTTTTTAATTGTTTGGGAGGCAGGAAGGGGTATTTTTTCATTAAAAATTTAAAAATATTTTTTATTAAATAGAAATTAGGTATCAATTAAATTAAATATTTCTACTTGATTCTAGGAGAATACACGATTACAATTTTTTAAATAAGTCATTAATACGAGGGCCTGCAAGTTTCTCAATTCCATATCTCAATATATAGTCTCCTTTTCCTCTTTACCTTGCAGGACCTTTTTAAATCCGTATGATCCGTTTATTACCTAAAGTGCATTACTGAGAAAATTTTGATTTTATCATACTCGTACCCTTACCATTTCTAGTATAATTGCTCGTACTCTTATCAATCTGAGGTCCGATTGGAACGAGTTCGATGCAAAAATTCTCTCTCTTATAGACATTTCTTATTATTTTCCACAGAAGATACCTCCAAATCCTTCCCTATATTCTTTACAACTATCCATGATCTATTGACGTCATCTCTATTTTAATTAATATTTTCTGTGCTGAGATAAAGATTAGATGGATAGATTATATGTTCTTTCTCATCAAAAAAATTTTATGTTATTTATTTATTTAAAAATTATTTTTTTTAAAAAAAGTTAGTTGTAATATTTGCGCATTTATTTACGTATTATTTTTTTTATTTCTACCCTCTTTTTTTAAAAGAAAAGTTTATATAAATTAATTAAACTTATTTGTTATATTAAATTATATTTTTATTTAAATGCATTCTAAACTTAATTCAACACAATTTGGGTAATTTTTTGCTTAATTTTTAAAGATATTCTAAATTTGACCTTATATGTATTTAAAATAATTGTGTACATCAGGGTCGGTCGGAAATGACGAAGGTGTCGGAAATCGGAACTGTCGGTAATCGGAAATGGCTCAAAAGTCGGAAATCAGCCTAAATTTTCGAGAATCGGAATCCCGGTCGAACCCTGGCGTATATACACTTTTTCGAAATAATTTTAATAATATTTGAAAGTTAAAAAATTGAGATCCAACGTAGTTGTCATTTAAAACCTGCTAGGCGGGAGATTAAGATAAATTAAAGGAGAAAGTAAAAAGCAACATTTCTCTATAGTTGAGGAGCAATTGTAGGACTATATCACCGATGAATCCCTTGAGTGAGAGCGCCTATCAATAACTGCTTAGAGGTTGAAAGATCGTTGAATACTTTCTCTCTTAACACGAAAACAAACTAAAAAATATAAAAAAATTAATTTATTTTGTTATTTGATTATAAGCTAAAGATTTTTAAATTAAATTATTTTCCATTTTTCGGTATTAAAAATTTTTTAAAATTAATTTAGAGAGCCTCTCAGCAAAGAGTCTATAAATTTAATTGAGCAAGTACGTCAAAAATTAACTTATCCAATAAATCCAAATGTAAATTTTCTAAAATATAATTTCAAAATAAATTTACTTTTAAAGTTTAACACAGACTTTAATATTTATCGTTTTGTGGCTAATGCAGAAAGAAATTTTAAAACAAAAATGGAAATTGTTGAAAATTCAGCTAAAGCTCTTTCGATGCATTTACGTGTTAGAAAGTGTTTTAATTTGGTGATTATTAGAGACCGGATTTTTATGCAAATGCATATTTTTTTTGCAAACTTGGCATGATGTATAAAGCACAAAAAACACTGTTTCCGCATGTTTTGAAAACTCTAGAGGGGGTTTCTATTTGCATATAATGCATATTTTTGCATATTCCGGACTTTGCTGCATAATGCATATTTTACTGCATATTTTGAGGTTTTTGGGGAAAATAACTCGAAAATTGCCCAAAATCCTGCCAAAAAGTGAAAATTTAGTAAAAATTTAGGAAAAAATTTGTAAAAATTACAAATCTTGCAAAAAAATTTTTTTTTGTTTTTGAGCGAGACCCAAAAATGTCCCCTACCCATAATGTCTCTCTTCCAAAAGTCCCATCCCAAAATGTCCCACCACCAAAACTCTCATCTCAAAATGTCCAATAGATTAAAAATACTCAATTTGTCGGACTATACATTTAAAATGAGAGTAATTTTAATAAAAATAGGTGTTTTGATTCAAAAAAATTAAAAATTCTAGGTAAAAATTGTATTTTTGCTGCATAATTTCGTGAATATTTTGGTTTATTTGCATATTTTTGTGCATATTTTGTCAATTTTTTATGCATATTATAGTGCATATTTTGCATTTTTTAATGCATAAATATCCGGTCTCTAGTGATTATATTATTTGTTAGATTTAAATTTATTTTTGATAGAGTTTAAAGTTAAAATTAAACACAAAATACAGTCAACCAGTGCTGGGTATGGCTCCGGGAGCTAGCTCCGGAGCCGGCTCCGGCGGAGCCGGAGCCGGAGCTAAGATTTTGAAAACCCCGGAGCCGGAGCTGGAGCCGGAGCCAAGAATTTCAAACCCCGGAGCCCGGAGCCGGAGCCAAGGTTTTTCAATTCCCCACGGCTCCGGCTATACACCCCTAAAGATGGGTTAGAGAAAAAGAAGTAAGCGAAGATGGTAGGCGAGAAAAGAAAAGGAAGAGAAAATTGAGACGGGTAAAAAAGATTTATTTTCCATTCCTGTGAATGTAGTTCTGGTTGAATGGATAGTGAGTTAGGTTCCGAGTTTTATCCGGTTATAGGTTCGAAAAATATTACAAAAAATGATTAAATAATTGTTTTTCTTTGGAAAATAAATTATAATAACCATTTTTTAAATAAATAAAGCTGGATAAATTTTTTAAATTGATTAATTTTAGTCTCCTGTGAGTCAAATTTTTCAAAATTTCTGCCTGCGGCGCAAAAAAGGAAGATTTTCGGCTTAAGGATCTTCCAAAATTCTCAAAATTTTCGCCTGCGGCGCAAAAAAGCGAGTGATAATGAGAATGAAAAATCAAATCCCCCTTAATCCAGCTTAATTCCCCGATATCGCCCTTAATTGATAAGATAATCCACCCAAATCCCGTTTAATCCGTTGATAACCCTCTTGATCCTCTTATATCACTCGACATCCCCCTTTATCTACCTAGATCCCCCAATGAAAAATAATTCATTGATTTTCCACCCGGAGCCCGGAGCCAACATGGAGCGGCTCCGAAAATCGCCGGCTCCGGAGCCGTAGCTGGAGCCGGAGCCAAGATTTTGAAACCCCGGAGCTCGAAAGCTCCGGGGTTTGAAACCCCGGAGCTTCGAAAACTGGTATTCGAAGCGCCCAATAATTGCCAGGAATGGTAATTTTCTGTCACCCACTTTCCCTGTAAAATTTAATGTGTACTGTTTTAGTAGTACATAAAGCTAAAACTCAAAAAAATCCGGCAAAAGAAAATTTTACAAAAAAATTTTTTGCAGGATGAACTACCCGATATTCCCTTTGAAAAAAATCCAATATTTATTGAACGCCTAATGCCAATGAGTCCAATTTTAGAAAATGCCACAGATTCTTTTAATAGACTACTTTGGTTTGTAGAATATAAATCCTTAAATGTTGAGGTTATTTTTTAAAATTCTTTCAAAAAAATATTTTTTTCGAAAGTCAATAGCAAACGGAATAAGAAGTTCAGAATCTATTAAATTCCAATTTTGGCAATTTGAACATATGTTGAAGCTAGTTAATAGACAGGAAGAATTAACTGGTCGATTAAGCTCGATACGTCATGTTATTGATATGACTGGTTATGGTACTCTTGGATTTTTATTTTTAATATAGGAAGTTCTGGAACAAAAAATCAGAATTTCCATAAAATTCTGATAGACTAAGTTCGCTCCTCGAGATTTTTCAAATGAGCTATTATTAGCTTATTTGTTTTCTAACCACAAAAAGTACCTTGGCCCTCTGCACTTTTTGAAACATTGAACAGCCCCTATGGTTGTTCAATTTTCAGGGGTCTGTATTTTGGTCAAATCAAGTCGGATTTTTTTGATTTTGTCTCTAATAGAAGCACATAGAAGCTTTTCCTATAGAAGCTTTTTAGAGCCCTGTATCTCGATACCTAGTCATCGGATTGATACCAATCAGATGTGGGTCGGAACAGTTAGAGGTGTCGGAAATCGGAATTCCGACCCACATCTGATACCAATACACTTCATTCAACTCGGCTCTCCGAACTGAGTTGAACTTTATATCAGAAATACGGCAACCCAAAAAAACAGAATTTTCTAAAAAAATCAGAATTTCCAATCAAACTAAAAATTATTTTACAGAGATTAACCCATTCACAATGCTTTTTGTCAGTTCTGGTACTCTCTCCTATTATTCCCAACTTCTCCACTATGATAATTATCCCGATTTGGTTTATCCAATTGAAATGGTTTGAATAAAATTTTATTTAAAAAATAATTAAAAAAAAGGTAAATATTGCCAAATGGATATATATTCCCTACCGTTTAATTAAATCTATGATGCCTGTTGGTTTTGTTGATCGTTTTAGATTACACGATGCTAATTTTTTGGAAAATCTTTGTTTGGAAATTAATTTGGATTATATTCCACATTCACTTGGCGGGCAAAATCAGGCAAGAAAATAATTATTTGATGTTCTGAGCTAAACCTCTAACTTATCCCACCCTTCGTAAGTGACCCAAGGCGGGATATCTGGAATCTGAATAGTGAAGCTGAGAGATATTTAAATATGGTAAATACGTGGGTTAGATAGATTGAAACAAATAAGAGTTAACTAAACACCGGATCTCTAAGTTATCACCCAAATATTGAATAAATAAATGTCATAAGCTTATGGATGATGGAATAAGAAAAAACGGCTTGCGGACATTCCTGGATATTACAATGGACCTCTGATTTCTGGACCTATAGGTCTTGAATAGTAGATTGCCCTATTGCAAAAAGATTTGCTTGTTTTAAGACCAACATGCACACGGTGTCACGACAATTGCGGATACTCACGTGCGGATGCGACGATTGCGGACGGCGATTGCGGACGCAATTGTCGTCCGCAATTGTCGCATCCGCAATTGTCGTCCGCAATCGTCGCATCCGCACGTGCGTATCCGCAATTGTCGTACCGCCCATACACACGCTATGTTATTTTTCATACAGCAATCCCACCGAAAAACATATACCGATAATATTTTTATGATTTCCAGTCATTATATTGTGTACCAATGCAACACTCTACTCAGAGTTGGCAACCTATAGAACCAAAAGTGCTCAATCATTTGGAACATTTATCTATTGGTCCACGAAAATATAAATTTTTAAAAATCCAAATAGATCCCAACACTGCAAAAAAGCATTTTTTAAGTTGGTATTTCCGAACAGATGGAATAATTCAATTTGGGGTGTTTTTCGAGCCATTGAGGAATGAAAGGAAAGAGAATATACAAAATGGTGAGGAAATGATTTTTTAGAGTTTTAAAATACCGTAAATGCTCTAATAGAAGCATATCTCTAATTGAAACCCCCTAAGTGAGGATCGAAAAATAGAAGCACAGTCTCCAATATAAGCACACCCTACAAGCAAGTACTATATGCTTCTATTAGAGCATTTGTGGTATATCCTAAGTAGTACCTGACAATTTATTAGATTTTGAATTAAAAAATATATCTCGAAAAAAAATTATTTTATCCCGATATGTTAGAAATCCTGTAAATTTTATAACAAAATCCCATACAAAATTTTAAAAATTATCTTAATTAATCAGGAAAGTATCTAAATGGTCATCACAATGGAATAATTACTCCAGCAACGGGTACTCGTCCTTCTATCGAATATTTTGAAAATAATATGGAATGGGTATATATGTGGTTTAAATTAACTGCCAAAATACACCATGAGGTACTGTATATTTTATTTTAAAATTAGAGTGAAAATTTCAAATGGTTAATTTTGATATTTTCATATCTTCTCCATTTTTTCTTAATTCACAGATACCTCCATTATTTCAACATATCCCACTTAATCCCCCATTCTTCTTACTCTTCCTCCACTTGTTAATTCTCATTTTTTAGTGAATTATTCGAAAATGATTAATTTTCGCATAATTGGTTCTCTAACTCTTTAGCCGATATTTTTTGTAAAATAAAACAATTTTCGAAATCGAAGGAGTGATTCCAAATTTGATTTTAAAATTCATTTCGATCTCTGCATTATCTCTAACCTCAATAATGCATTTTAAAATAATCTTGAAATGAGGTTATTTTAAATTTGCCTCTTGAAATAAGGCAATTTGGTCAGCTCACTTCACAGCAGGGGTCGGTCGGAAATGACGAAGTTTCGGAACTGTCGAAAATCGGAAATGGCTCAAAAGTCGAAAATCAGAAATGGCTCAAACGTCGGAAATCGGAATTTCGACCGACCCCTGCTTCACAGGGATTAGAATAAAATATGTAGAACGTCTAAAATGATTTAATGAATTAATTTAGTGGGATAGTGTAGAATGTACTCAACCAGGAATTTATTGGATAATATTTTCAAATTGTCATAGCTGGATACATAAACGTTTTGTTGAGGTTATAATACAATTAACCAGTGAAGAAAATGAACAAACAAATATTAAAAGAATATGGCATGACAAAAGGGAAGAAGAAAATAATAACTTGGAAGATTATGAAGATTTGAGAAAAATTTTTCAAATGAAAATTAAAACTTGATAATTTTTATATGTACATATATTTTTGAAAATTATTAAGTGGTTCTGAAAAAAATTTAACCTTATCAATATATTTTTTGTTGATAATGAATGTAACGATGATTCACCTAGCAGCATTTAAACGCTAAGGTGGGGGTTAAACAATCGGCTGTAGTGTAGTGTATCGGATGATTCTGGACCGAGTTATAGGTCCTGAAAAATTGAAAAATCATCAGGGGAGTAAGCCCGATTTTGGGGTGAAAAATAGCTCATTCGAAAGAGCTCGTCGAATGAGTCGGTGACACCAAAATCAGCTCGAAATCTGACTTGATTTGACAAAGTTATGATTGTTTGTTTTAGCTCCTTAACTATGGCCTCCGTGATGGTTTTTGTTTCTACAGAGGCCCCAGGTACTTCTAGTGCAATGAGATAGGAATGTTAGTGACCCAGACCCCAGCGACTTTTGCGGACAGGTACCCCAACCGGAGATTTACGGCACCCTGGTGGCCATTTTATTAGGAGAAATACGATAGATAAGATTTATTCAATTATTGAGGATTTACTTGTGCACGATTAAAGATAGCATTTCGATATGGTGTGTTTGTTAAAATACAAATAATTGGGTTAAATACAGGTGTAAAATGAAAGTAAATATAGATTAAAATTCGAATAATGTTTGCTGAATCATTGTTTGTTGACAAAAAACTTATAAGAATTATAAGTCCTGCTTGGCTAACAAATGGAACGACAGCCTAAAAATTTAATTATTAAAAAGCTGACCTCAAAATCTTACCAAAAGAATCAAAACTTTTGTTAAAAGTTTATTCAATCTTTTTAAATCTCCATCAATATTAGTGTTTAGATTGACATATCTGACCATTTTGAATCCACAGACAAAAATAATTAAATAAGGAACTGTTTGAAATATAGCCAGAAATAATTGTGACCAAACACTTATCTAAAAATGTTGTGGTAAGCGTTGCTCCGTTTCGGTTATAGGAGGGGAGTCCGCAACTAATCCAAAAGTTGTGAAGGGGTCAGGGGAATAATGTTGGCGGATAGTTAGCCTTATTCTACGGATATTGCGCCGTCTGATTACCACTTATTCCTTTCGATAAAAATTTCCGAGATGTGAGGTTCCAAAATGATGCTCAACTCCCAAATTGGGTTGCCTAACTTCTTGAAACCAAAACTGCCACTAGATTTTATCAAAGGGGAATTAAAAAACCGCCCAGCAAGTGGCAAGATGTGAGAGATAATAATGGGCATTATATTGTTTCTTAATTTCATTTCATTATTTAGTTATAGTAAATTGTTTTATTTATGCGCAGAGGGTATTATTTATCTGACAACCCATTAGAACCACATGTCTTCTATTTTTCGATCCCCACGTAGGGTGTGCTTATATTAGGGGTTATGCTTCAAATAGGGAGTGTGGTTCTATTAGCGCATTTACGGTACTTAATGTTTTTAGAATACAAATAAAACTTAAAAATTACATTCTCCATTTTGCCTTGAATAAACGGCCATGTTTTGTTAAAATTATCAAAATGTTTTATACCTCCAAAAGAATATGGATTAACTAAAAAAGCTAAATCCAAATTATAAATTACTGAGACCAATAGAGCAATTGATAACATGTATAAATACCGACGAAAATTAATTTTCATATTCCTAATAATTATTTGAGGAGTGATTACTTTTATTTATTTACCTATTCAAAATTAAATATCTATAAATAAATTGAACACACAATCCAAAAAAATTCAAAGAAGCAATGCAATTCGAAAATATTAAATAAATAAAGGATATAAACGGATTAAAATTTTCTTTCATTAAACTAAGCAAAATTCCATAGGGTAAAATATTAATTGAATTCCCTTCTGTATCAGATATATAAAACTTCAAATAATTAAAAATTATTTTAAATAGAGTTACGTATACATTCTATTAATTACCCTCCCTCAAATACCCCACCTCTATTAGTTTCCACCTCCAGCGAAGGTTGAAACATTAATTACCTCAGGGTTCTCATCGACAAAATGCCAATCAAAAGTATCAAAATCTTGATAAAAAAGTACATAGGGGCGAAATTTCCAAATAAAAAGTACACTCCAAATTAAATTAGAATTTTTTTTTCGGAGGGAGGGGCCAAGGGGAAAAATTTTTCTGCGCCGAATTTTTGGTGCCGAAGGCGCCAATAATCTTGATTTTTAGCGCCGCAGGCGAAAATTTTGGGAATTTTGGCGGTTTGGGAATTTCCCCCTTAAAAATAGTTATAATTAGCTTTCCTAATTAACCTCTATCAATTACCCTCTCCATAGAGAGGTCGAAACAATAATTACCCAGAGTAATTAATAGAGTCTATACGGTAAGTCAATCGGAAATTGTAAATAGTTAGAGATTTAGAAAGTTGGAATTTTGTTTAGATTCTTTACCACTTGAACAAGCATTTGATTAATCAACATTAAAATATCCAAAACACAATTTTGTATCAGAATTCGACTGTGTGTTTTCATTTCTTTTGGTGTTTTAAAAATAATTAAAATAATCAGAAGAATATTTAAAGGAAAACCAATTAATAAACAAACAAAATAATCTAATTTAAATAAAATATCAAGTATATCCAAGGACATTTTTTTAATTTGAAAGCGTTTAATTTTCTAATTAAATGGCAAAATTACTTTAAAAATTTTTTATTAAGAAATTTCTAAAATGTTCTCATGCCCTTTAAATGTAAAAAATATTTTTGAGAAAATTTTGTTTACTTTCATTAAATTGTCTAACAAAACTAAATCATATGATTTTTTGTTGCTAGGTTAAATTTCTCAAAGTGACGGGAATCTTAACCTAATGGCAAAACTGAATGTTTTTTTAGATAAAGTTAATTTTTTAATAAACTTTATTTTAATTTTTATAGCAAAATTAAAATTAACATTAATTAATATTTATGATTATTGCCTCAGATATTCACTTTAAAATACAAACCATTGTCGACACTATTTTATAAAATTTAACACAAACAAATTGTGGGATTTTTATTTCAATATTTACTAAGAATAATATTAAAAATTTAAACAAAACCTAAATATTTGGAAAAATAACAAGTACATAATTAATGAGTAACAAAAATATTAAGGAATGTAGCATCGCTTTATTAATTAATTAGGTTGTCTATTATTACGTACCAAAGTCATTAGGGAGAACCTTAAGAATAAATTATTTTAACACAGTTTTGCATGTGCCCGTTCTAGTTTTTGGCAATCATCTTCTGTCTCCCATAATTATGTAGTTGCAAACATCCATACATTTCTTATAAAATTATCCTCCTTCTGCGCAGGATTGTCAGCAAATTTACTAGCTTTTTAATTTACTAGCATTTTAATTATTTTTTATTTTTAATTAAATGGTAAAATTATCTTTAATAATTTCTTATTATATAAAAATTTCTAAAATGTTCTCATGCCCTTTAAATGTAAAAAATATTTTTGAGAAAATTTTGTTTAATATTTAATAAACATGCCGTGTGATTTTAATTTATTGTTAAATTCTAATTAATTTGAGAAAACTATTGAGTTTATTATGACAGGGATCGGATTTTTAAGTTATAACCTTTTTTCTTATTTGTTATTTAGGGCTTTCATCGGTATGTATTTGTTATGAAGATTCAGTTTTTCTGTTAGATAAGCGTATTTGTCTTCCACTGTGAACTTCGTTGTTTATACTTACATATGTCTAAATTATTTTGGAATATAATTTGGTTTAAATTATTGAAATTGAATTTACTTTGATCTCTGACGTAAATTTTGGGGCTTTTAATTAATTTGACTTCATCATACAACCCAAACCTCTATTATTTTGTGAATGGAAGTTGAAAAATTCTCCCTAAAGTTAACATTTCGAACTATACCGGAAGCGGATGTAAGTACTAGGTGTAGGATTGAATTTTCCCTTTTTGGTTAAATAACACGTTGATTTAATTGATTTTGACCTATAAACTCTAGAAACATATTCGCGATTTTGTCATAGTTGTCAGTTAATTCTCTAGAATCCCAGTTAATGTCTAATATTAAAATCTACGCAATATAGTTATTTGGTTAATTTGATTTGAAAGAAATTTTAATAATTTTTCTGTATTAATAATCGAACTGTTTAGTTGACGATAATGGTAATAATGTTAATTTCCTTTATAAAGGAAATTAACATGTAAAGAAATGATTTTTTGGAT